CGGGACACGAACCGCGGTCGACTACGTGGGAGTCCAGCGACATAGCCATTATGCTAACTGCTGGTTCCCAAGATAAACATGGTTTTTTAAAAGAGATTTTTTTTTTTTTTTTTTTTGCTAAAGGGTGTGTGCGCTCAACAGAGTGTGTTAGAAAGTGAGAAATCCCCCGGGGTGGACAGCCACGTCACGATCCCTCCTCCCTTCTCCTCTCGGGATTTTGGGCACGCACACATGCACCCAGTGTGAGCCTGAAGCCACTGGGCTCAGAACTGGAACGGCATTCGGCCACGTGGGAGTGCAGCACCACTATGCCATCTGCTGGTCTCTACACATATTTTACAAGAAGGTTTAGAGCAGTATGTTAGGTACGGTTCTATTAGAGAAAACAGAAGAGAACAAGCACACAGGCATCTGCTTCATATGCACAATCTGATCGTCACACAGATGCCTCTGAAGAGAAGAACTGCGGCACAGACTCCAGGGTGGGGCAGAGATGTGCTTGTCCCATGTGCACCCTCACATGTCCCTGCTCCTCTCTGTGCGCAGAGAAGGCAGTCCTCCTCAGCGAGCATTAGGAACTCTCGTGACTACGTAAACTTACAAATATTACAAATACACTTTTAAGAGGCTATAAATCCATAATTGGAGAGTCTGTATCCATTAATAGACTAAATCTTAAAACACACATTACAAGGAGTCAAATGCAAATGTTTTCAACCTGTAATTGGCGGTTTTTAATGTTGGGACCTTAATGCTTCAGAATGCAAATACCATTACCAGACAGATGGTAATACTGTCAAGAAACAGGCTAGGAGTAAAGACAAGAACGACATCGCAGAGACAACCACCTGCCCCGGCCTGGCATGCCACTGCTCCCACCCACTCCCCACCTACTCAAAGGGGAAGGACTTTGGGCACAAACTGTCCCTTACTAGGAAATGGCTGTTTCTTTCTGCAAAATCTGAAATGGGACAAGACTCCTAAAAACAAGTAGGAACTTTGGTCTACAGTGTCACTGACATTCAACCTTTACCTTTGCTCTTTATCTTAGTAACAAATACCAAGACCTACTCGAAACTAGAGATGAGCCATGTAAACTGAAGTACGGTTAACGTGCCATAACACCTGCCCAGGGACAGACACTAGTTGTCACTCCACGAAGCTATAGTACCCTCTGTGCTTCCCCTGGGCCATGGCCCCCCGGAAGTTCGCTTATGTAATGGCACCAATTTGCGACGTCCAATTTACCAGCGAGCCACTCACCCCCTGCCTAGCCCCCACTGTGGCCCACGAGGCAGACGGTGCAGGTACTCACCCTGTCGTGAAGGAAGATAAGAGCCAGCAGCACATCATAGATCCCAGCACAGACCTCCGCAGAAGACAGCGTTTCCAGAACCACGGCCAGAGGTCGCACCCGCTCCGTAACAAGGTGAATACCACCTGATTCCATGGTACAAGACAGAAACCTCAGCAAGCAAGGGTGACGAAGCGTCTTCAAGTGCTTTAAAAAACAAACACAAGAGCTAATAAAATGAGTGACTCAAATCAGACTAAGTTTCATATACTTCGGGGCCAAAGTCAGACACAGAAGACTCAGATTCAAGGTCCTCCCAGCTCTCTATCTCCCACCCAACCTCGAAATATCAAACAAGGCAAAGGGAGAGCTGAGCCTTGTGCAGCTTGATTCAACTCACCATCAGTTACGACTTCCTGGTCCACTATGGCAGTGTACGGGCCTAAGAGCCCAGATCTCCTAAGAATTACTGCTGTGAGTCTGAGCAAAGTGCCAGAAACTGCCTGAGAACTCGGAATTATAGATAAGGGCCCTCAGCTCAGGTAGGTGGTCAACATGAGACGACACCATGGTTAGGGGTCTCTCCCTGTCTCACAGCTCAGCACTGAAGCCAGGGCTTGGCTGCAGAGCCTGACAACAGCGCAAAAGCTCAGATAACACCCTCCCATCTTCCCGGCCATGGCTTTCCAGCTAAGAGTCCCTGGCCACATCATGCACGTTGGAGGTATACTGATGACATTAGGGCAACTATGCTGTTAAGAAAGTGAATAGTAAGATACTATTCCTCATGACCTTAACTTCCTTGATCTTTATTAAGTTTATAATACTTTTTCGCAGAAAATAAGACCATAAAAAGTACTATTATAGCATCACCTATTCTGGTACCTTGGCAGCTTTATTAACCTTGTCTTCGTTTTCTCTCTTGTACACAAAAACCGAAGCCAGCTTGCCATCTTGCAGCACAGCAGGATAGACAGCAAGTCCAGAGGGCAAGGTAAACGGTGGTTCCTTCAGCGTGTAGCTCTTTAAAGCACTGTTCTCTGCTCCCATCCCTTAAGCAGTGAGGCAATACTGTAGCTCCCCCTCAAAGCCAAGCAGATCTAAAAGGAAAATAAAAATTAAAAAAAAAAAATACTCAAACATTAACTCTGTTTGCAATGCAAGTAAGAGATTAAAGATAACCAGACAAAGCCACTCAAACCTACTAGCTTTTTCAACCTCCTAACAATGATATTTGAAAATAAAAATCAAAAACGCTTGGCAAGGGAACCAGCAGTTAGCGTAATGGCTATGTCGCTGGACTCCCACATAGTCGACCGCGGTTCGTGTCCCGGACCCAGTGGCTTAAAACACGCCGGGCGCGTGTGCGTGTGTGCCCAAGATCCCGAGAGGAGAATGGAGGAGAAGGGATTGCGGCGTGACCATTCCCCCTGGGGGGTGATTTCTCGCTTTCTGTCTCTCTGTCTCTCTCTGTCTGTCTGGCGAGCGCACGCGCCCTATAGCGAAAAAACCTCTCCAAAAAAAAAAAAAAACGCTTGGCAAGTTACCAGCAATGTTTGTAATTAACAAGTATAGAGAAAATGACAGTAATAATAATAGGCAATTACTATCCCTCCCTAAATGTCACCACACACAAAGTTTCAGGATGGAAAGGAAATCAAAAACAGAGTAAGGTAGAGGATGGACAGTGGCATAGCTGAAAATGTGACGCTCTGCGAGCTGGCCCAACAGAAAGGTCCTGGCTTCACATCCAGAATCCCTGGTACCCCAGGTGTACACATGCCCATGGCCCAGGGCTGCCTGAAGGCTGGCAGTGGATCACAGCATCAAGATCCTCTGGGGATATTGTCTCTCTCACTCTCTTGCTCACTCACTTGTGTAAGAATAGGTAAAGCTAAAATAGCAATTCATACTTAACTCATTCGCATATTCTCCCTCACAATCTAAGATGTTGCAAAACCTGATTACTCAAAACAACAAAACTGGGACCAGCAGATAGCGTAATAACTACGTCACTGGATTCCCATGTAGTCAACTGTGGTTCGAGTTCCAGACCCGGTGGCTTAAACTCACACCAGGCGCATGTGCGTGCATGCCCAAGATCCTGAGAGGAGAATGGAAGAGAAGGGATGGCAGCGTGGCCATCCGCCTGGGGGGTGAGTTCTCACTTTCTGTCTCTCTATCTGTCTTTCTGGTGAGCGTACGTGCCTTATAGCAAAAACCTCTCCAAAACAAGAAAACAATAAAACTTAAGTCTTCATAACTTAAAAGTTATGAAGGAAAACAATACAAATTGGAGAATATTTGTAACAATGATAAAAAACATGTTAACAAGCACAGGTCTTATAATCAAGTAAAACGATAAAACATCAGTAGACTAAGAAGTAAAACTGACAAATACATAGAACAATAAACCTAAGAAAATGTAATCTCACTACTCTTCAAAGTTATGCTAAATAAAAAGGAAAACCATAAAATTGCTTAACTGCAAATGCTAAAAAAACTCACATACGCCAATAAAAATCTAGGAAATGCAAACTACTCTATGACACGAAATAGACCAGTGGTTGCCCAGGGAGAGGGCACAGTTAGAGAGGACCAAGAAAGAGATTAAGACTGCAATGGAATACAAGAAAATGCCATGGAGGAAAGACATAGAGCTGTCCCTCAGTATCCAAGGGGGACTGGTTCCAGAACACTCCATGGGTACTGAGATCCACAAGTGCTCAAGTCTTAAATAAAACATATCAAATTTGTATAAAACCTAGTCACATCCTCCCAATATTTTTTTTTAAAGGTTTTCTTGCCCTGAGGTGTGCACGCTTGCTGAAGAAAAGCAGAAAGTGAGAGGGAAAATGAGAAATCTTACCCCCAAGGGGGATGGGCATACTGCAATCCCTTCTCCTCCATCTTCCTCCTGGGATTTTGGGCATGCACACACATATGCCCCATCTAATTTTCAAGCCAATGAGTCCAGCATGATTTTCAAGCCACCAAGTCCAAAACTCAAACCACAGTAGGCCATGTGGGAGTCCAGCGCCTTAACCACCCCTCCACCTGCTAGCCTCCCATATACTTCACGTCATCTTTAAATTACTTACATTACCTACCAGAATGTAAGTGCTATGTAAATATGTAAATAGTTGTTATGCTATATTGTTCAGGAAATAATGACCAAAAAGAGTCTGTATGTGTTCAGTACAGACACAACAAATTTTTTTAATGCAACATTTTCAATCCATGGTTTGTTAGAACTGTGGATGTGGAAACTGTAGACCCAGAGGACTAACTGTATTATTTTGATTGTAAGACTGATAGATGGGGACCAGCAGTTAGCATAATGGCTATGTCGCTGAACTCCCATGTAGTCCACCACAGTTTGAGTCCCGGACCCAGCAGCTTAAACTCATGCTGGGCACGTGTGCGTGTGTGCCCAAAATCCCGAAAGGAGAATGGAGGAGGGGTTGTGGCGTGGCCATCCCCCCTCGGGGGGGTGATTTCTCGCTTTCTGTCTCTCTGTCTTTCTGGCAGGTGCATGTCCTATAGCAAAAACTTCTCCAAAAAAATAAATAAATAAATAAAAGGAACTGATGAAGGATTATAAATATCGAAACCTTATAAAAAGTATATTTTAGGTTGTTTCTTTTTTTTTCAATAAAGTGATTTTAAAAGAAATATAGGGCTGGCCCTGTATCAAGCAGTTAAACATTGTGGAGGAAATCAGATCTCACATTGGTGCCCACAGTTCAAATCCCAGCTCCGGCAGCTTGAAAAACACGCTGGCACATGACTACATGCCAAGGACTCTGACAGGATGAGAAGAGAGGAAAAGGACTGTGGCATGACCAGGCACTGTTGGGTGGGACGCTTTCTCTCTCTCTTTCACACACTCCCTCTAGCATTTAAAATACTTTTATTTTTATTTTTTTAAGAAAGAGATTTTTGCTATAGGGTGCATGCCAGAGATGGAGAGAGAAAGACAGAAAGCAAAAACTCACCCCCTGGGGGGATGGTCACAATGCAATCCCTTCTTCATTCTCCTCCTGGGATTTTGGGCATGCACATACATGTGCCTGGTGTTAAGTTTGAAGGTTGGGTCTGGGCCTCAAATCACGGTCAGCCATGTGGGAGTCCAGTGACATAACCATTATGCCACCTGCTTGGTCCCTAAGTGCAAATTTTTAAAATATATTGAATTTAGAAGAAATATATATACACATACATATGTATATAGAGAGAGACTAAAAAATACACTAAAGTATTAGTTTGTTGTGAGGGTCAGAACACAGGCGGTTTTACCAAGGGTGTGCGCGTGCACACACACACTTGCCTACACCTCTCAAACCTTCTACCTCCCGCTCACACCCGGCAGGACTGGCAGCCAAGGGCCCACTGTTGCATGGTGAGGCCTTTCATGAAGGAGGGAGCAGCTCTTACAAAGTTCCTGCCAGGACTGCATTCCCAGGCCTGTCAGGTCAAGCCATTTACCATGAGAAGTCAAGAGCCTGGGCATTTATACAGAAACCTCCACATATTTCAATGCTTGCTCCAGTTTATAAAACCTATTAAGTCAAATGACAGGTCTGAAAAACATGGGGTGGTCAATTTCAGTTCTGATTTTACTCTAACACAAAAGTTTAAAAACGAAGAGTTATTAGCAGGCAATGTGGCAAGCACACTGCTAATTCTGAATAACAGACAAATATTCTACACAGACCTTTAAAATCTTCAGTTAAAATACTTTGGACAAAGACAACAGACCTTCAAAAAGTTCATGGGGAAATGGAATTAAAAGTACTAATTTATTCTGGAACAAAAAATTTTGACAACCATACACAGTTTTCTCGTAATATAAATTGTATATGAACTTTCTGAAAGTTCAAACACAAATGATAATTGTGTATAAACCCAATTATCACTTTACATGAAGAACTTCTGCTCACTTTGGTGAAGTTCCATATAACACTTGGTGCTACCAGAATATTATGCTGCTCAAAACATGTGCCTAAAACAGAATTTAAAGTGTCTACAGACCCAGGTACATCACAAGGGACATGACATGCACAAGGATTACAGTGATCTAAAACAGAAGTTTTTCAAAATCCAAGAACATCTCTTAGGGCAAGAACTAGGTGTGCTTTGTAGCAAACCAAGCTCATACACACCTAACAAATCATCTTCCTAAGGAATGAGGGCCAGGGGTGAGCAGCAGTACTGTAACTGGACCCACACAGGGAAGTCCCAGTCCCCGTCCCAGAACGCTGCTAGGCATGCTGGGTACACAGGTGCCCCTGACCCAAGCTCGCTGAAACCACAGGTGAATTGAGGCATGGGACCCTGTTGGGGTGCCTATCTTTCTCTTCCTCACTTCCCATCTCTAAGAAATTTAAAATCTTAAAAAAATAACAGATAAGTAAACACTACTAAAAACGCTAAGTATGTCGACTATACATAACGTTCATATTTCTTCTGAGAATACAAACAAAAGTAGCTTATGTGGGATCATAGAGAAAAGCAAGGGTGCTCAGGCCCCTCTTCTAGGAAAACCCTGCTGCTGCCCAGCCCATGTCAGGAGGGTCTGATTTCCCACTGGAGCTTGTCCTCTTCTGGGGCACAGTTCAAAGTCAGGTCCCACCACCCTGGACCGAAGAGTCAACTCACAGAAGAGCCATCTCCAGGAACCCTGGCCTGAATGAAGAAACGGGCCAGCTCCTGTCTCCCATTGGAACGTGCACTAAATAGATGCTGTCTGTGGGCAGCACAGCTGGAAGAACAGTGCCATGAAGCAGAGCTAGGGCGACAGGAAGTCCAGGCCACCTGAAAGCAGAAATTTGGCAAGCACAGAGGGTAAAAAAGGCACACACTGGGGGAGTAGCTTCTCCATATCTGTAGGAGCACACACCACCTTTCATCTCAAGACTACAGGAGGCCCAGGGTTAAATCCACTTCTCCCACAGCATCACTGATACTCTGACAATCAGCCCTTTCCTCCTGATGAAGTTTGAGGAGGTCTATGTTATTTAAAACCAACTGCCATTTCATAAGCAGAATATTTATTTATCTCTCTAATAAAAATACACACACACATACATTTAC